ATGTGACTCAGAAGAGCAAGGACCTTCCTTCCCTGGGTGGTTTCTGTCCAAGGACTCTGTTGGCTGGCTTAGGGTATGATTATCCTGTTAAACAGAAGATAGGCCATACAGGGGAGGTGTTTGGCTTTGGAACACATTTTATGATTTTACAGAGAGTTATAGAACCTTCTAATTCTTTTAAAATATTTTATTTCTTTGGCTGCAGGCAATAGCAATTGATAGTGGGAGAAATGGCCCATGAGATCTCTGGGAAGCCAAGACAAAGATAGAGATTGAAAAATTTGCCCTTTACCAAAAGGATAATCCAACAGGGAGTTGGCTCTGATTATTCCTTCTCTGCGGGGTTCATGACAAGGAATGACATCTAGAGCAGGGACGGCAAATACAAAACAATGTGGTGTTACCTTCTGCTCCTGCTCCTGTGGTGGATATTGCTAATAGACACATCACTTGTTTCCTCTGAGTATAGATGTGGCTTCAGAATCCTACTTACCAGAGGGCTCCAGATAGTCTCTACCGATTGTCAGCTCTTGGTAATTGATATATAACCTGCTTGCTCCCCCTCCCTGGAGAATAATTGCAGAGAAGACCCTACAGATAACTTGAGAAATCTAGTTGGCATGAGTCAGGCCAGGTCCCACACAGCCCCCTCATGAAAAGTGTCACTGACCTGGTTAGACCGAGATTGTTCTTTCCATAGGCTGCTCCAGAGATGGCAACAGCAAAACCACCAATTGCTCTTTCTTCGTCATAGCTTTTCTTCAAACGCTGGCGTTGTAGAGGGAATTGGGCAAGAAACCATGGTAGTTCTTCATATTAATTCTCGCCCACCCGCAGGGCCTTCAGCAAGGTCTTTCCCCGAAGCAGAGGCCTTGAGTCATCATTGCACTGCCCCTGCCTGGGGACAGAAGTCATCTGCTGGACCTTGTCCCTCCCTGGTATGCTTTCTGCTATCCATCAGGCCAGGTTTGTCCCAGGGATCCTGGAATGGAACGTGACACAGGAAGAAAGTGATGCAGAAATCCTTTCTCTAGACCTCTTATCCCATTACTACACATTCAATTTTTCTAAGCTTTTCCTTTGTAATCATGTTTCTATTCTTTCATAAGAAGGAGATGCACTTGTCTGTATCCATCCAAAGACATTTCCCTATGTCCTCTACTGCTGCATTAGGCTTTTTGTAGACAAGAAAATGTCCATTGTCCTCTTAGGGTGATATCACATATCCTTGAGACAGTCCTCTTTGGGTGACTGGCAGGGAATGGTCTCTTTAGGCCGACAGAGAAGCAGTTGCCAGTCTCAGGGCTGAAAGGGGAATGGAGACAGAAACAGCAGCTTTGACTTAAGTAGTGAACAAAGAATGTTTTCCTTCCCTGACCTATTTTCTGTCAACCTCCAGTATGACCTACTTATGGTGATGGGATAATTAGAGCAGCAGAGGGCGCTGCAAGGTCAAAAACAAAACTGCCCACCACAAAGGAAACTGGGAGAAAAGTCCCTTACTTGAGTGGTCTGAGTGATCAAAATTCAAGCTGTGGGACAAGGGTGGCTTTGTTGCCAAATTCCTTGTCCCCCACCTGGTCTGAGGGCTCCTCTTTAGTGTCGTTTCAGGCTAGTGAAAGGCAGCCTAGCTTCACAGGTGGGTGGGTGGTGCCTGCAGGACACTCAGTGCCTTGGGCAGCTGGACAGGCCACTGACATCAATAGGTTTAAGGAAGATGGGGTGTAGAAACTCAGGGGCAAGACGTCTTTCGTGGGTCATGACATCTTGAGGTTCTCTCCTCTTCCTAAACTTTGGGGTCACTCGGTCTACACTGTGGTCTCTCATGACCAAGACTGTTACAGCTGTTGGAAGACATGAACAGTGGGCTAGAAGTTTCATTTCTCAGGTTCCTAATGCTCTTAGGGACCTAGGGGAAGCCCAGCTGGCTTGGGCATCAGGGGAGTGCAGTGCTTGCAGCACTGACAGTAAATTAAAGACATTAGTCTTTTTTTTTCTTTAACCATTGATTGCTACTACATATTTTTTTGCCAGATTTCATAACTTAAATTTTTAGATTTGCTCAGCATCTTTTCTCTGAACAGTTTTGATGAGAATGACACTCTTAGGAACTATATTCATCTGTCTATTTAATAAAAATGACGTTTTAATTAAATATGCAACAGCAATAACTGCCGTTCATAGATTGTTTATTTAGTTGGCGGATTGCACGTATTGCTTCATTACATTTTCCAACAGTCCCATGGAAAAACTATTGCTGTCTCCATTTGACAGATGGGGAAATTGAGGCTTGGGGAGTTAGGTCATGTTTAAGGTCACACAGCAAGTAAACGCTGGAGCTGCTAGGAGCCCAGGCAGACTGACTTCAGAAGCCCACTCTTAGCCTTGAGACTGCACTGCTGTTCTGAGAACTGCGCTTCCTGAAGGGATGGCTTTCAAGGAATATTGGAAGAATCCCATGGTGGGAAAGTTGGATTATGCTGCCCCAAGCAGGACTCAGTGCCTGCACCTTCTGTGTGAAGCATTAGCAGGGAGGATGTGTCCCTGTGTGTGAGGGTGAGGTAAGATGTAGCTGAGGTGGCAGTTAGAAGAGGAAGAGCAGTTTAACTTGAAGACTGTGGAAGAGTCCTTGGACTTGGGAGACCCGGATGCTCTCAAACAGACCCTCACCAGCAGGGTCTGTGGATAGAGTCCCTGCCAGCAGGTGGCAGCGCAGGCCTTGGCAGCCTGGCACATGGCCCTGAACCTTTCCTCTTCCACATCCAGGCACCCTGGAGATGCTTATGTGGGACTTTGGCCCACATAATGTTTACTTTTGGTATTCTCCATGCTTTGGGTTGCCCTATAAAATACAGGATGCCCATGAAATTTAAATTTCAGATAAACAACAAACACTTTTTTTAGTATAAATATGCTCACTTTTAAAAGTGTATGTTCCAAATATGACATGTCCCAAATACCTGTATTCCTAAAATTTTTGTTGTCATTATTTGAAATGCACATTTAACTAAGTGTCTCGTATTTTTATTTGCTAAATCTGGCAACTTCATCGTGTCAATGGTCAATTTTTAAGTGAAGAAGCTTACATTTCTTTATTGCACAAATATTTATTGGTTATCTGTGATGTGGCAGTGAAAGATAAATAATGTTTCTGCCCTCATGGAGCTTATATTATGGTGTGTGCGTGCATGTGTGTGTATGCGTGTGTGTGTGTGTGTGTGTGTGTGTGTGTGTGTGTGTGCGTGTGTGTGTGTCGAGGAGGGAGGGGAGATGAGAGAGACAAAAATAAATGTGTATAAATCAAATGCTTTCAGATAGTGATGCAAATGAACATAAGAACTGAGATGCAAATGAGGGAAGTTACAGGTGGGGTGGATGGCTAATTCAGTTGAAGTGGCCAAGGAAAGCCTCTCTGGGCTGAGATTTGTGAAAAACTTGGGCCAGAGCTCCAGGCAGCTAGAAAAAGGAGGCATAGAGAAGACTAGAAGGAAGGCCACTGCTCTGAGTGGGAGATGTAGGCAAGGCTGAGGAGGAGGTAGGGTCTGATCCTTTGCCGGTGTTACGGGGTCGGGACCAGTTAGGGGGTTACCACAGTCCTGGTCCTGGTAAGAGACGAGGGTGTTTGCAGGGGATGGCGACTGTGGAGATGGGAGAAGTCGATGGACTGGAGATATATTTTCACAGTAGGACTGACAGGTCTTGCTAATGAGTTGGATGTAGGGGAAAAGAGAAATGAAGGAACTTCCAGAAGTACTTCTAGAAACACTCCCGGGTTTTGGGGAGTGAGTTGGTCAGTTTTCTGTTTTTTACAGCAGTGCTTCCCAACTGTTGTCTTGTTGTGGCTCACATAGGAAACCATGTTTATGTGACTAGTGGCTCAGAGGGGCAGGCTTACACACACCACTCTTGGCGCCATCTTGGCAAGGTTGTAACCCACTCGTGGCAGTTCACCCACTGGGAAGCTCTGCTTCAGGGCAGAATTTTCCAGCTGGAGCCAAGTGTGCAGTGCATAGGCCCAGTGAGAAATGAAAAGTCATGGTGACAAAGTGCAAAAAACACTCTCAGGATCAGGGCACTCCTTCAAGCTACTGAGATCAAAGATTTCTAGAATTTAAATCTAGGACAGGTTTTTAGAAACAATCTTGTCTAGTTCCCTTTCCTCCCTCTTTACACAGAGGAGCAAGGGACTTGTCCATGGTGTGCATGCATTCATCTATCCTATTTACCGAGTATGACAAAACACGTGGAACTGTGCTAGATGCTGTAAGACAGTGCCACTCAAAGTGGGACAAGTGTGGCCTGGTGTGATGGCTCACATCTGTAATCCCAGCACTTTGGAAGGCCGAGGCAAAAGAATTGCTTGAGCCCAGGAGTTCAAGACCAGCCTGGGCAACATAACAAGACCTCATCCCTACAAAAAAAATAAAAAAACTAGCAAGGTGTGGTAGTACGCACGCCTGTAGTTCTAGCTACTTGAAAGGCTGAGGTGGGAGGATTGCTTGAGCCCAGGAGTTTGAGGCTGTGGTGAGCCATCATCCTGCCCCTGTACTCCAGCCTGGGCAGTAGAGTGAGACCATGACTCAAAAACAAAACAAAGAAAAAAACCAAAGTGGGATGTGTGATTCTGAACTGAAGAGCAGTCTGCAACCAGAGAATACAGAATTGGAGGGTGAACTGCTTTTATAGCAATTGGATATTCCAGAATGCCTTCATTGGGCTTTTAGTCTCCCTCCTTCCCTCCTTCCTTCCCTTTCTTCCTTTTTTTTTTAAAAGGTAATTCATTCTCACTGTCAAAAGTACTCGTTTAAGATGGATTGAGGACCCAAATCACAATAACAACAGCAGCTTTCTTGACTGGAGATACTGGCCTCAGGAGTCACAGCCAATTCAGTCACATGACTGTCAGGGCCGCCCCTTCTCCCCCACTTCCTCAGAGCCCTAAGGTGAGACCTCAGGAACTCTGTTTTACTGTATATCCTCTGTCCTGATATAAAAAGAAGATGATTCTTGTTGTGGGGTTTAGCCTTTTGTTTTTCTGTAAGTAGATTCATTTGTTTACATTCCTCTTGTTCTGTAACCCCATTTCCCTTTTTCTGACTTTTGAAGCCTTGGCTTCTTTCTCTTGCACGCTTGGCTTTTCAGTTATTCTCTGCCTTTGCCTTTATTTCTGTGTCCTTCTCCTGCCTTTGCCCTTTGAGTTCCTGTGAGCTGGGCATGTGCTGGGAGCGCCAAATTCACTATTTTCTCATTTATCCTCTTCACAGACAAGGGCATGTTATGTGTCAAGATGACTCAGAGTTCCCCGGACCAGACAGTGGCAAGTGGCAGTCAGGTGGTACTGCTTTGCACTTATGATGCTGAATTCTCAAATCCAGATTTATACTGGTACCGAATGGGGCCAGATCATTCTTTTCAATTTGTCCTTTACAGGGATATCAGTAAATCTCTAAATGCAGATTTTACTCAAGGTCGGTTTTCTGTGAAGCACAGTCAGACCCAGAAAACCTTCCACCTGGTAATCTCCCCAGTGAAGACTGAAGACAGTGCCACTTACTACTGTGGCTTTAGCACAGTGACGCAGGTGCCCGGGAAGTCTGCACACAAACCCTTGGGTCACAGCTCAGTGGAGCTGCCTCTTAGGGCAGGTCACTTCCTGGACCTGGCATCCTTCTCCTAGCCATTTTCTGGTCTTAGAGGTGCCCTACAGTGTCTGCTTGGTCACATTCAAGAAGCACCCTGCTGCAGGGGAGCAGAGCATTCCCCCACTTCTGACTCAGTGACTCAGGGTAATCAAGGGAGAGCTGCACATTTGAGGAAATATTGTCTTGGTGTCCCCAGTGCCCAGGTGGCACTTGATACAGAGTGGGAGTCTGTGCTGAGTTTGCTGTGAGGGTATCAGAATTGTTCAGGTGGCCCAGTCTAAGCTGAGGCCATCAATAGTGTCTTTATTTTAGTTTCCATCATCATTTATCCATTATTGTGACTTGGACTGTTTTTATTTTAAGAAAATTGAACACAAGTTTATTTACTCAAATTTTTCCCCTGATTTACATTTTTTTGGTGTTTAAAAAAATATCCAGCTACCTTATTTCTCTGACACTTCCATTTTATTTACTTTATGCGGTGAACACTTTTCTTTCACTGAGATCTCCTAGAAAGTTGTCTGTGAGTCCCAGAATCCCAACTTCCATGTCCCTGTGTTTGGAGCTTAGTAGTGTCTCCAGCTGAGAAAATTTCCTCTAGGGAAATTGACTGTGTGATGTTGAAATAGATACACCCTCAGCCCCTGGGACACAGTCCCTCCTTCCTCTATTTCTATTCACTGCCTTAATAGAACTATTAGAGTTATTAGATGTAATCTTAGAAAGGAAAGAGGCCTTAGATGTTATTTTATATGAGATACATTGCAGCCCAGAGAAGTGGAGGACCTTTCCATGGTCGTATAGCTGGCTATTGATGGAGCCAGGGATGCGGTGTCGCACTTCTAATGCTCTCTCCTGCAGCTGTGCCCCAAGAAGCCTTCTCAGTGGGTAGTTTGGGCAGCAGTTTGACTGTACTTCAGAAAGCCTTGGCAGAGAGTAGCCACGATATGGAGCAATGGAAATAACATGGGGTGAGGGAGCCAGAGACCTTGGACAAGTGATTCACCCCCCCCGGGGGTGGGGCCTCTGTCTGTTGCCTGCTGTCCCGTGTTCATCACAATGTCCTCATGTGATGGCCCCAAATCAGAAGGCAGCCATGATTCCCTTGGCGCTTGCCTTAAGTCTTTCCTGGAGGCTTCTTTTGGTGGAAGAAATTCATGGTCTTGTGATATGCTAGAATGTTTTTTTTCCCAGGCAATCAAAGTGGGCCAGAGAATGGCTCATTTATTTGCAAAATATAAGACAATCCTGAAGTTCAGTGTAGTTGGTATTCACATGGGCACCTTGTCCTCATGTGGGGGGTACAGTGTACTCTCGTAGCATGAGCTTTGGGCTGACAGTTTTGAGAACTTGGTTCTGGTCTTAGAAATACCCTGACTCATTGAATGACTTCGGATAAAGAATATACTTTTTTGAAAGATGGCATGATTTTTTTTTTAAATCGGAAAAATGAGGATGTGATCTTTTTGTTCTTAGCAACTTCAGAGAAACATTCTAATGTTACACAAGATAACAGATGTGAATGTTTTAGAAAAAGGCATTCTTTAGCATCCAAGGTGAAGTTATATGGAATCTTTCATTGTTGTACCCTGGAGGGACCTGGCTTATCCATCTAGATTGTCCTAAACCTATTGACTCTTAGTGCTGCTGCCTCCTTTCTCTTGTAGAGCGGTGAAGGCATGATGTGGGAGTTTGCAATTAGTGATGGCAAGGGGAATTGTTGGTGATTGTTGCTCTTTCACTTGTAACCCCTAATAACTCTCCACAGGACACCCCACATAGGGCCTGAGGAAACCACAATAATGGGTAGCCAGGTGCTACCTCCACGGGTGCTGGGCGTCGGGGGAAGTTGTGGCCTTCCCCAGGCAGAGGAGCAGAGATCACGGCCAGATAGAGGGTGCTGCAGGAAGCCTAGAGCTGGGTCCCCAAGGCAGGCGCTGTGTAGGCCTGGGGCTCAGGAAGCTGAGGTGTGATCTGTAAGCTCAGTTTAGCTTTTGGCTGACTCATCTCGAGTTCACAGAGCTAACTTTCCCCCTGCTATGGTTTGTGACAGGTAAACTCAGAGGCGAGGTGCACACAATGCAGTTTAATAAATGCATCAGAGACAGGGGCTGAGAAGAAAGGCAGAACACCTTCAACATCAAAGACCCACACAAAAGAATCAGTGTCCAGGGCTCTCAAACTCTCTGTACGCAGATTGGCAGGCAAAAGACAGTAAAATATTGTTACAGAAAAAGCTAGGGGTCTCATTCCTATCCCTCCCTCCAAAAACACTTGCACGGTGAGTTGCTTGAAGGCAGGGCCCATGTCTTCTTTGTACTCTCAGGACAGTGCCTGAAACCTAGAGGGAGTCAATTTATGTAAATCACTTAACAGAAAGAAGTGCCTTTCCTCTGCTTTTTATTCTGATCATTGCTAATAGATTGGAGAGTATTTAGATGAGATTTTAGAAACCCCATTGCCTGTTCAGAGAGCATTAGGGAGTTCAAATATAATCTCATTTGTGCTGAAACTTTGTCCCCCTCCCTGCCGGCAAAATCTCTAGTGTGGCTGCTGCAGTGAATATAGAGGTTGGGACAAGCCACGGGCAGGGAGGAAGAGGATGATGCTGATCTGGGGCAAATCTAGTGCTCAGTTGAGCAGAGAGTTCTATGCTCACATAAAAGGGTCTCTGCTCTTCTTCCCCCAGGGTCTATTTTCCTCATGAAGAATGGAGCTGGAAACCTGTTGATTCTCACTTTCTGCTTTCTAAAGGTAAAGAAAGTCAAAAGGAATGAAACATCATTTTCGAAGTGTATTAGTTGTAGAAGTGAAGAATAAAGTCCCATATCCTTTTACATTCCTCTATCTCTTTATAACGGAGAATATAAAGCAGTTAGGACCATAAACCCCCCTACTTCCCAGGAAGATAAGATGGGTTTGCTGCTTTCCAAGAAACACTAATTTGGCTAGCAGCCATTTAAATAAAGGCTGTAACAGGTCAACTTGAATCCCTACAAGTTAGAAACCCAGGAAACTGCATCTTTGAAAGCTTTTGTTTTCTTTTATGGAGTGTAGACTTCTTGTACTGATCAGCCTGTAAGTGAAGAAAGTTATGGAATTATAGGCCATCTGGACTGGAGGGGACTGTAGGGATCATGGAGTCTGGAGGTGGGTGGTACGTGCTATGCTGTGCCATAGCAGATATCATGAACCTATCGTGGCACATTTCTCTTCTGCACATAACAAGAGTTCAGCTAGTTCAGCTATCAATGTTGGCATAAGTCACGAAACCCATTTGCTTTCCTTTAGTCATTTTTAACTTCTTAGTTTTACAGATGCAAAAACCCAGGCCCAGAGAGGTGATGCAACTTGGTAAGGTAACATAGTGAGTTAGTGGCAAAGTCAGGGCTGAAATCCAAATCTTCTGACTCCCAGTATAGCACTCTTTTGATCCAGCCTCACTACCTGTGTCTTTGGGACTGTTAGTAAAATAGCCGGACACCTATTTGGGAATGACTGGGTTAATGTTTACAATCTGGATCAGATCAGTCCAGCACTGTAAATCTATGGTTGTTCCTAGAATAGAAACTGGGGCTGGTGAGTATTTGAGGGTGTTGGAGAAGAATTAAGGGGAAGGAGCTTCACAGGCAGACCTAGGCCCTGGCTCAAATTTCATGTATAAGATTCCCTGAAAAGAGAATGCAAGCAAGAGGCAAATAATGGACATTTCAACCCCAGCTTTGTATGCATATTGAGTAGCTCATGGTGGGCTGTCCACTACTAATAGGGGTGCAGGCTCTTTCCAAAGACAGGCTGGTCTTGTGATTAAGGAGTGAGAGATGGTATTTCTTTTACCTAGGCAAAGATAAGTTTAGTTTTCTCTGAATATTCTACAGGGGAAGTTATACTTATGGCCCTGCAAATAACCCATGGTCTCTTGGCCAAATAAGCAACATAGCAGTTAAGGGAGATTAGTTTACCTTATTTAGCTTCTATTTTATCCCTAGAGTGGAGGAAGGGATTATTGGCTGGTATATTAGAAAAATAATTCATTATACTACCTAATGGATTTTGAGTCTGACTTAAAGTGAAAAGATTACAGGAGATCTTTTGTTATGCTGAGTATCTGAGAAAGCCCACCTTATTAATTCTAAATATGTCTCTATTTTCCCTTACCAATGCTTACTGGTTTCTTACCATTTCTAAACCTCTTCTCTCCACGTACAGAATAGTTTGGGTAGAGGTGGGAATAAGAAGCAGCTAATTCTTACCTTAGAAGAAAAATAACTTGGCAGTCAAGAGAAAATTGACAGCAACGCTCTTGGCAAACAGCATTCGTAGCCCCAGTACCGTGAGGGACATCATATTCACTTTCTCGGCATGAACTGTGGTTGAACAAGAGCAAAGAGGGTAACTTCAGGGAGATACTAAATTTCCTTCCAGAAATTGGGCTTACGACGGATGCCATGCCTGCCCCACGTCTGCACAGTTCTTTCTAGCCCGCAAGCCCAGTGTGGTGCCAGACAGCCCTCAGAGACCTCAGGCTGCTGCTCACACCCAGCCAGGCAAGCTTGGGAAACCCAAGCCCACAGCCAGGCAGGGTCTGCTGGGAGAGTCAGAGGCTCACGGGAACCGCTGGACTCAGTATGGTTTTTGTTTTCTTTTGAAATCTGATGCTTTTGGCCCCAGTTGGCAATTGCAGAGTTTGCGTTACACTTCAATGCTGAAGTTGGCCCTTTGATTTGAACTAACCTTTGGGTTTATGGCAGCTCTCTGAAGTTTGCTTCGTGTTTTCAGCTTCTGTTACTTTTAGATTATCTGGAACAAACAGCAGTGGTCAGAGTTATACTGGCAATCAAGAGACTCAAATAATTTTAGGATTTTAAAACTGGAGGAGACTGTAGGCAAGTGAACTGAGGACCAGAGGGTGTGACTTGGTTAAGGTCACACAGCTATTTACACATTCAACATGCTTCCCATTCTAGACATCTTCATTGTACCATGAGGCCAACATCCAGGCATGCCTCTAATATATAGGAAGAACTAGGATTCTTAACCCATGACAGGTTGCGCTGCCCTTTGTTTTGGAATTTAGCACTGGATGAGACTGCACATGGATTTTTAATCCCAGAGTTTAGTAGTAGAACAGTCATTTCTACTGTATGAAAAGTATAGTGGTTTGTGAAGAGGAGAGATGGGCTTTATCTTAGATTCTAGCTTAGGAACACAGAGAATTTCCTTCCCAGTCAACGGCAGGCTATTGTTGGGCCTAGTCCTGTTTCTAGAATGATGCTATATTGAGCATGATCTGTCCACAGTTTACATCTCCAACTTCCCTTTCCCCCAATTTTCGTTCTCCATAACCTCCAGCCCCTTAAAGCTTGATACGACCTACCTGAAGAATTTGTCTTCGGCTCAAAGTCAGTGGAGTGCACAGTTTCACTGTTGTGTTGAACTGAACATGTCACTGAATTTGAATCTTGATACTGACCAAGCTTAACAGCACTGTACTTTCCACTGGGAGAGACGACAATAGCAGGGTCAAATTCTACTATCTTCATGGATGACTTGAGACTTATGGTTACATCCTTGGGGTAGAAGTCCTTCACCAGACAAGCAACATTTGTTCCATTTTTCATGACAAAAACAGATGGTTTGGTAGGAGGTTGATTTTCTGCAAATATAATCAACTTGTTTTGTGAGATGATTATCCACAACTTTGTGAGAGTCAAACAGTGGTGATTACCTCAATTACCCTGGGGCTAAACACTATAACCCAGACCTCCATGTGTCCTTTAGTGATCTGGGTTTGTTAGCAACTCCATGACAAGATGGCCAAGGGGAGCAGAATTGAAAGGCATTTTGACTTCTAGTTAAGGAGCTGCTAAGAGATAAGGCTGCAAGCAGAAACAGAAAATAACCACTACAAAGAAGTTTCTGGATATCTGGGTTTCGATTATCTATGTGTTATTAATCAATCCCCTAGACATTCTGGGTCAGGCTGAATATCTGTCTGCATCAGTTGGTTTATTTTAAATGCATGAGCCCTTGGAGGGGGATCAGGGCAAGTCCTCATGCTTTGCATTATCAATTAAAGAATTAAGGGTCTCAGGAAGACTGCATAACTGGCTCAAACGCTCTGAGGATGGCAGTGTTGGGGTCACTGCAGTGTGTCATCCCTATTTTATGGACTTAAAGGGTTCTGCTGAGATGGTACATATCTGCCTTTAGATGAATATTCATTCTTTTATAAGGGACTGAATACTGTATAGTTTCCTTTGAATCTTTAATCAGAGAATGACAACTATCATTCCCAGGAAATCTTTTTAGACGTAAAACTAGTTTAAGCTCATTTCTTCTTGTTTTATTTTAAGAGAGGCAGTTGGAATGCGCGTCCCAGTAAGTGGGTTCCTTCGTAGCCTTCTCTTCTTTCATGCTCACCTTGGACTATCATCTGTCTACTCTGTATATGTATTCTTTCATTAAAACCAAAGTTCTCGAAGCTTTGAGAGAAGTAGTAATGATTCTTTTACACTATGCCTTATTGAAGTTTTGGAATTGTGATACATTTTGTGTCCATGGAGACTTGGATTCTTAGGCTCTCTTCAAATAACTGCTAAAAAAAAACACCCCTAATAATATCTGAAATCAGGAAAGACAACCAACCTGTGAATGGCGATCTGAATATATTTTCAGTCCTGAGTTTAGTAGTTGATTTTTCAATATTAATTGCTCCTATAAATACGGTTCTTAGTAGTTAAAACTTAGGTGAGTTTGATTTCCTGATATCAAATGAAAAATATTTTGAATTCTAGTGTACTTTCATCTATTATGGTCTGCAATCAAGACATGAGGTATTGCTGAGCCATAAGTCGGTAATGAATGTACCCATGGAAAATAAATAATTTTTCTAGTGCTTTACCCTGAATCTGGATTTGTGAGGCTCATGGAAGTAGAGTCGCAGTAAACTCAATTGGTTATATCTGGATGAGAGGGAGTAAATGCTAGTCAGGAAGTTCCTGCTGATCAAAACTTTGTGAAGGGACTAAGGCTAATCAGGGCTTTCCTAGGTAATCAATTCAGAGAAGCCCTTTTATCACTACCATCCCAATTCTCCATCTCTTCTCTGTTGAGAAGCTCAGCCAAAAGACTGATGCTGTTCCAGTCGCTCCTGGTAGGAAACTCATTCCTAAGAATCTGCTTCCTCTCGTATTTGGGGTTTTTTAGTTCTAGACGAGGGAAGATTGGGAATTTTTCAAAGGGCTTTCCTGGAACCTGCTTTCAGCCTGCGTGAGAAAACCTTCTGTTTTGTTTCCTTGCATAGCTGAAGCTACTGATAACAGAAACTGATAACCCTAGCACTAACGGCAGGAAAACCACATGTGTTGCTCACTCACCTCCCTTCATAACTGTGGTATCTCTTGCTCGCCATCCTGACTTTGGTGTGAGATGTATTCTGGCTGACTTTCAAAGGAGTTATGAATTAAAAGTTAAACTTGTCCATAAGAGAAAAACAACCCTATCTCCTTGTTTAGTTAGTTAGTTAGTAACCCTATCTCCTTGTCCATAAGAGAAAAACAACCCTATCTCCTGATTTAGTTGAACAAAGAAGGCTTTCTGGGATTTTAAAATCTAAATTCATCAGGCAGTTTCAATGATCACTTTGGATTGGGGAGACTAGGTCTGAATAATTTGAACAATGTAATATAGCTGACAACACAGATGTCTGAAGAAGGTCATGCACTTATGATATTCAGCTCTGAATCTATTAGTTGGCGTTTCAGATAAAGCATAATGCATTGATGTGGTAAAACGTTTTTCTCAGATCCACTGTCCAAATTAATGTCTACATGTTCAAAACAGTTGTTTAAAAGAACACTGTTTTAACTAATCCATTCATTGCTATCTTGGTATTTGATTGAATTAGACTTAAAAAAAAAAAGAATTGCATTCCATATAGTTACCATATGCATCCTAGCCTATTTTATATTTGACTTAAACCCAAATCTGAAGTCATATAAAACCAAAGTCCAAAATTTAAATTAGAGTTTTAGATTGAATGACTTATCTTTTGAGAATTTTCACTCTTCTTGGTCCACAAATGTAATTACATTTCAATATGTGTTTCAAGTGCTATTTGTTTGGACAGTTGTTTATTTTCAGATTTTCTTTTTTTATGAACCCCAGTACAATGCTAAAGTTATAAGCTGGTAAACAATACAAAAAGAAGTGTATATTCTTCCCAAACAATCTTTCTTAATTTGTAAACTTAGAAATCATCCATGTTTTGGATTCACATGGAGTCCTATTGATCTCCCAAGAATTGCAACATCTATCATAAAACATCACTCAGAATTTCAAGACTTCCTGCCAATATGGGATTTAACTTAAACCCTGAAATAAAAGTTTGTTCTACCTGATTACTCTGACCATGCCAACCCTTTCCCCAGAATCTTCCTAGCTTCAGAACATTTGTTTTCAGTTTGTAATGAGGCAGCTTAACCAAAGAGGTATGTATGTAAGGATGAAACAGCTTCCTGAGGAAGTATGGTCGAAGTATCCCTGTCACTGTCTCTCCTGCACCTGAATGCTCCAGCCCTTCTAGATTTCTTTGTGCTTTCTGGGCTGTGCTGAAGATTCCTGAAATAAGTGGGAGCTACAGTTTAAATATACGGTGTGTGTGTCTGAGTGTGAGTCTCACTCTTTCACACATGTGGGAGTGCAGTGGCACACTCATGGCCACCGCAGCCTTGACCTGCTGGCTTCAGTCGATCCTCCTGTCTGTTTTCCAACTAGGTAGAACCACAGGCATGCAACACCACTAATTTTTTAAAAAATGTATTGTAGAGACGAAGTCTTGCTAAATTGCCCAGGCTGGTCTTGGACCTCTGGGCTCAGACAATCCTCTCACCTCTGCCTCCCAAAGTGCTGGGATTACAGGAGTGAGTCACCATGCCCTGCTCTACAGTGTGTATTTAAAAAAATAAAAGTAGTTACAGAGCTTCTTCAGTGACTCAGTCTAGTGTCTTTGCTCTGGTCCACCTCACATCTGCTCTATCCCATCTCCCCATTACAATTTCATCTACTAGTTATAATTTGTAATGCAAACTGGATGATGGCCTCCATCCCAGCACTCAAATTATCCCTTGAAACATAGAAAAAAGATCAACTCACGGGGCTCCACGAAGAGTTTGATGCCAGTTCCAAAAAAACATCTGTCGGGTGTCCCAGGAGCACATTGTGAAGCTGCCTCACAGGTAACCAGCCTGATGCTGGCCCTAGGGCTTCTGCTGAAACATCTGTGCCTTGCCTCCTCAGCCTCATGTCTCAGCCTAGAGACCCCACAGCTCAGAGAACTACAAAGCTGCCCTTCATGAGACTAGGGGGCTGAGTACACAGAGTTTCTGTTCCCTTTGAAGCTAATAATAGTCGAACTGCTAGACAGAGATAAGAGCATGAAGTCTCCATCCAAGAGATACTCGGACAGGACTGAGACAGAGCAAGAGGGTGACAAGTGACCGATAGCTGCCCTCAAGGTGGAAGATTGGGCTCCCAGTTTATTGGGAGGGCTCTCCAAGAAAAAAAACAGTAGTTTGTGGGTAGAGATGGGGCACTGAATGCTAACATTTCTTACAATGAATGTTAGGTTGAGAAGAGGGGGGTTTAGAAACAGGTTCCAATCTCATACTTTGGTTCCCTTCTCTTGGGTTATAAGTGCTGCGTTTTGATTAGAAACTTAATTTCCCCTCATCATTCAAACTCAGTCTCACAATAATAACAAATTTGCTTTCTAACTCCCTGAGCCCAGGAAAAGGCTTTCCAGGGCCTGAGGGTTGAACAAGAAATTGGTTGCCATTGGGGAAGCCCATTGGTGCTGGGTGTCACGGATTCAGGTCAGAGAAGCCAGTACTTGCTTTGGGTTGATTATTTTTGTTTTATAATTTCTTCTGACTCTGGATCCAGATGCAAGTCTCAGGAGTATCGAGTAATCACATGAACTAGAACCCAAAGACCATATGAATTAATCTGTCTCATCACCAAAAATCAAGAACCTAGGGCGAGAGCCAGGCAAAAGAGAATGACAGTTGTGTAGGGCTATTATTCACTGTAAAAACTTTAAGGACGAGAGTCTTGATTGGAAATTCTCACATCCTCTACCTGAGCTTCACATCATCATATTACAATCCGTCATTGCAGGAGAAGAAAACCAAAGAAGCAAATTGAGTGTCTTTGGGGAGCGTGGTCAGCGTCCTGGCAGAGGGGCTAACCATCCATTTCATCAATTTCCTTCTTCCTGAAGACTCCCAAAGGCACAGCCTCAAAGATTTGATTCTAACACTGTAGATAATTCCAAATTTCAAGTGGAAATGATTTAAAGGGAAAATGAAACACAATACTTTTTGCTCAGACGCAATTTGCTAAACATCAATCAGACAGCCATCAGCTACTATTTCCCTCCTTTTCATTGCTTTAGTCTCTCTCCCCTCAAAGATAAGAACACTCATCAAATTCCACTATTTCCCTGGCAGCAATAGGCATTGAAGAACGCCTGTAAGCTGATATTATCCCTGAGAGGCAGAGACCATGTTGACAGTACCAGTCACTTTTAGGACCGTCAGATAGCCCCACCACTTTCATGTACCTTTTCCCACTTGTTTTTATTTTCTCTGAATCAACAAGATCAATATCTAACCATGTAAGAGGTAAGGCCTGCCTCACTAGACTTGGCATTTTGGAAGGTGCCTGAAAGACTAACATTTTCTGGACTGTTCCCAGTGACAGTTGGTAGCTTATCCAAACTACCTGCATACAGATATACAACTTGATTTTCAAATGCTGGAGCAGTGGACAGTATCTCTCGTAGAGTACCATGACTTCTCTATTGTCATTAAGTTGGTGGCTGCATTTCTACATTGGATAAGGGTTCCTAAACCCTTGTGTGGAGTCCCCAGATTCAAGGCTACGAGGGGAGGGAGCACATAACTGCTCTCAGTAAGCCCAGGCTAGTATGGGACCTTGAGGACCATTTAATCTAGGCCAGTCATGTTATTTTAATGGAAATTCTCAGAAAAAGGCAACAAAGATGAGACTGGATTCTTGTCATCTGAGAGAGAGAGAGAGAGCGAGGGAGAGAGAGAGAGGATTCTCTTGATTTAACGACTACTTCTTTCATAACATTTTTTCTTTCTAACTCTCCCTTTTCCTATACCATGACCATGACTCTTATCCCTCATAAATAGTGGAGAGACCTTCCTCATCTGGAACTTGCCTTTTCCCTAGTCCTAGGGAAACCTGACCCAGGGTTTTTTGTTTTTTTTTTTTGGTAGTTGTAAAATACTTATCAATACTAAGCCTCAGAACAGAGTTTTCAAACATATACATAATGCTTTCTTAAGAGAAATTTGATGTATTTGCTTCCAAATTTTACCCCTACTCTTTGCAACAAACAGTGGGTTTCCCATTCAGAACCTCCTGACTTCCCAAGAAGCCCCAATCCTTTAGAAATACTCTACAACTCTAAGGAAATATTGCACACTGAGCTGTAGTAAAATGCATAACTTACTTGGTTCCACGATGAGTTGAGTCCCTCTTCCAAAGAAGAGCTGTGCTGTAAAAGCACTACCCTAGGAATCTTTACAAAAAACCCTCACTACCTATTTGCCTCCCTCAGTCTAGTTCATCTGAGTGGAAGAGGGTGGGAGGAGCAGAATGGGTGTAACACAAAACTGGCACACAGAGCTTTGCAAGGATTTCTGAGATCTGAGCATTTCATTTTGGCAGATTTTTGAGACTTGTTATATTCTGAGTGTTGACATTGAGAAAGTTTCTAGGGTTTTTTGCTATTATCTCCTCAACCCACCATCTCCTACCCCTGGATTTTACTTCAGGGTCATATTTTTCACATAATTTGCTGAGAATTGCCAAATGGCCATTGTCAGCAGAAACTTAACTGTAAGGCTCAAGTAAATCAATCCAACAGGACCGTGTCTTAGAGGTGGTAGGATATGACAGATGGAGCAAGTAACCTGATGAAAAAAGGGTCATAATAATCACAGATGACTACCATTTGTATAAATATCTTTCCGTTTAGCAAACAGTTGGTGTCTATACTACCTCCACAAACGTTATTGTAATAAAATGTCATGGGGTAATATTATTAGATCCATCTTGCAGATGAAGTCACAGAAACTAAAAGTGGTTAAATGAGTGGTTAAGCTGGGCCTTACTCTTAGGTCTCTGGACTCTTGTTTCCACAAGTTGAATCAGAGTAATAGATAATAGGTCTGGAAGGAGGCTCAGCTGTCACTTTTCCAAACCTCTGTGGTCACGCAAGGGTTAATTAATAGATGCACAAGGAGAGTTTTGTTTCACTTTCCAGTATTTTCCATTAAGCCACAGGATTCCTACTGGGTCATAGGACATTCACACCTTTGGATTTCCTTTCTTTTCCTAACAAGTTGTCCCTAAGAATTGGGCTGGAGGATAATGGGAATCATAGTGGGCTAGGGCTAGAAGACACCTTGAGAATCCTTCAGTCTAATTACAGGGAAAGTAGAGTTCAGTGAAGTCAAGTCACGAGTTCATGAGTCAAGGAGAAGGACTGGAAGTTGGTCTCTGAGTCACCGGATTAGTGTGCTCCTCATTTTACATCACGTCCACCACCAAGAAGGTTGTAGTGTGTATCTGCTCATGGTCATGGCCTAGATCTGTACATGGTGGAAGCATAGATGTTGAGTAAGCTGCTTCTCTAGAGTTAGTCAGGAAGAGGGAGGGCACTGGAGACTCCCTAGGAAGGACAGTGGATAAATAAGGCCAACTGAAGCACATACCTCATCCTGAATTTTATCAGAAACTCAGTCCCTGTTCCTCAAGCCACCCCTTGCTAAATTACCTGCTGGAGAATTTTTTCAGCAACCTGAGAACTGTTTCCCAATCTCGTGACTTAGGAAAATATTTTACAGAGATAGTTGCCAAACACAGTGGTCATTGGAAGGAAAAGTGAGTTACTTCGCATGCTTCTACCTCAAGATGGGTTCCTTTGCCAAAGATCAGTGGATTGGCACAGCTGATAAGCCTAATCCAAAAGCCACTTTGCTTTTCTCTTTAGGTTGCCAAGTCATGTGATATCCATCAAATGCGATTTTCTGTCCCATTCGGCCTAAACTCTTGTCTACTCAGTCTTAAGTATTGGCTGTCCCTCAGGATAGAGTAGAAGGTAACTCCAGTGTCAGATAGAAACCCAAGCTGTTGCCCATTTTGCAATCTGACAGAACTTGTGCTCTGGATGAGAGAGAATGAATGTAGACTGCAAGAGAGTTTCTTTGATTTGATCAGGAGTAAAGAAAGGTAGGATGTTGGTTACAGAGTGGTGGTTCTCAGCCTTGGGGCTACACTTACGTGGGTCAAAGATGTGGTGGCCGATGTACACCACTCATTCCAACCATTTAGGGGAATTCCATTCTATATCCAAGAGTTTTGCATCATTGTCAAGTTTTGTGCAGAAGCCAGACTTCTTAGCACAAAATAGAATTGGATTCTTCACTCCATTTTAATAGCATGGTCATGAATACCAAATTTTAGCAAGCTTTAATGACACAGTCACACTTAGAAGTGACAGTTAAATTAGTTTCTGTCATATGTAAAAATTAGAGTCTATGAGATTGCCTGTATGTCACTCATAAAAACCAAGAAGGGAATATGCATTTTCAAATCAGCTTACAACCCATGAAGGACTGCAGATCATACTTTGAGAATCATTAACATGAAGGGTAGTTCTTAGCTGTGGTGAAGTAGAAAGAAGGCACAAGATCCAAAATCTAGTTGGTTTTTTTTGGACTCTGTTTCTTTCCAAGTTCATAATCTTGACCAAGTCCTTAAACTTACTGAGTTTTATCTGCCTTTTTTATAGAATGAGGATAATACCTTCTGTATTGGTAGGTTGTAAGATTAAATGAAAGAGCATATAGAAGGTATCTGCAAACTAGAGAGCCTCGATGTAATTATTAGGGCTAGACTTAGAGAAAATAAGTTTTACTGAAAGCAAGGGGGATATAACTTCACTGAGAGTAGAGTTCTCAGGAGGAAGGGTTGCTGGGAGGGGTTGCTGAGAGAGAACAGAAGCCTAGTTTTTGGTGTTCTGTGAGATGAGGAGGGTGCCCACACTTCAGGGCCATGGATGAGGACTGGAACCCAGGTTTCTGTCTCCCTGGCTCTTTTCTCTAGGTCAGCTGTGACCTCTATTCCATTCTCTAATCTTACCTCTCGAATCCAAAAGCAGAAGTTCTTACAGTGTCCTGCAAGCTACCCCCTCCCTAGGCCCGTCACCAATCCGACTTCATTTTCTAATTCTCTCCCCATCCCTCACTCCCTCCATCCAATATGCCTTCCTTACTATTCTTCACGCACCCCAGGCAACCCTGTGTTTCCTCTGCCTGAACATGTCCTTCCTCCAGATGTCTGCATGGTTTGCTCAGCCTCCTCTTCGGGTCTCTGCTCAGCTGTCACCTTTCCAGTGAAGCCTTCTGCGGCTCCTCTGTTTAGAATTGCACACTGCTCCCTCTCTCCAGTCCTCCTTATTCTCCTCCCCTGCTTTATTTTTCTTTGCAGGGCTTATTACCACTAGAGTACATATCTTTTATTTATTTATTTAGTTTACCATCTGACTTTTGCCATCAGAAAGCAAACTTCAATGTGGCATGAATTTCTGTCTGTTTTGTTCATGCTCATTCTGGAGGCACCCAGAATAGTGCTTGGCACATAATGACAACACTTGTCACAGGTTGAGAGATGGTACTTAGACTTGGTGCTACAGGTTCCCAGCTCGCTTCTGTTACTATTTCCTTTTGCCTTACACCACAGCTGACTTTTCCTCCGATTCATTCATTCACTTATTCACCCATCCAACAAACACTTGCTTCGTGCCGTCAATGTATTTGTAGATACAGTAAGAAACAACTCAAAGTCCTTATTCTCACAGAGCAAGGGAGACAGGCAGTAAATGAGCACCAGGATTTCAGGTGGACCTGAGGGTTATAAATAATAAAGCAGGGAAAAGGGTCTTCAGAATGACGGGGGGCGGGGAGGGGGTTGCTTGGGAAAGGCCTCAACGGAGACGTCTGAGTAGAGACCTAGACGAAGAGAGGAGGGAGAAAGCTATATGGGTTCCTGGGAGAAAATAGCTCCAGGTAGAAGGATCTGCAGGCGTGAAGGTTCTGTTCTGGGAGAGGCTCACCAGGAGTGAGAGGGAATGCTAAAGATGCCAGGCCAAGGGCCAGTGGGCTGGGAGGAAGAAGAAGTCATCTCTTGGCATTTGGGAAACAGGTTGATGAGCCCAGAATTTTGTGAACTCCTCTTTCTTGGGGGAAAAGGGTGATGCTGTGGTCATCATCTGGACCTTTCTGTTTTTAGGGACCCTCAGTCTCCAGGGGTGTAATGTGGGCCTCACCTGACGCCTCCTGGGGAAGAAGAATGCCTCTTTGGGCAACTAGTTTTGGTGTGGGCACAGAAGCTCTTCCTGGGTGAGGGTTGTGTTGGGGATGGTGCTGGAAGGGAAGTAGTACAACTGTTGTTTCAGAGTCAGCTTGGAAAGGAGCTCATGAGATGCCTGAGGTGGAGGCTGGGCCATGCAGGAAAAGCCTCTACATGTACCTTAGCTGAGCTGCAGCCCCTGCAGAAGAGCAGAGTTCTTAAGAGCACAGATCCTGCAATCAGATAGATGATTCAAATTATGACTTTGCTGAGCTGTGTGATGTTGGGGAGCCCCTCTGAGATTCAGTTTCCTGACCTGTAAAATGCAAGTAATGGTATCTAATTCCGCATGATCATTGTGAGACTAGAAGAAAACCACCTTCATTAAAGTGCCTAGTCCAGTGGTCTGATAAATGGTAGGCCCTCAGAAAGTGGAAGTTGGCATAATGATGGCATATAGTAATAGGTAATGCTCCAAGTGGCTCACTTCCATGCAGATGTTCCTGGCCACCGTGGTTCTTTTCTAAGCCTCTGCCACCATCACTGCAGAAGCATGTATTTATATTGCTTTACATTTACTGTTTAGTCCTGTTCTCTGGTTCTGATTTATGAAGCTAAGTGGTGTCCCCAGGCTTATTCTATCCAGAGGGCTAAAATGTGTGGTGGGATCTGCAGCAGTGGGTTGGTAGAGACCTGTTCTGTTAGTTTTGTGCTACCCGGGAGCCCTACAAGTAAGAACTTGAAAGAAACTCCTGAGGAAAGAAAGTCTCAAAGGACTTCTGAGAAGATAAAGGCCCTGGGTTTGCAGTGCTGCCTCTTTAAACCAATATTAGTTGGCTAAAAAAGGAAGGCACTGTTCAAAGACCTGGGTCCTGCCCCCTCTGGATGCCCCTCATTTTTTCACTTCAAAGGATGATGGCAGGCACTGGTTCAGTGTTTCCCAAACTTCAATCAATCACATCTCCTTTTGTTTTCTTTTTGTCATATCCATCTGTCATAATTTGCTTAATATTTAAAAAAAAGTATTCATTTTTAACTTAAAATATAATTAGGGAAATTTAAAGTTACATGGGTTTGATGACCTAGTTATACTGTGCTGATAACCGTTAAAAAGATAGAGTCACTAAAATGAAAAGAAAA